GAACCCCTGTTTTATTTTTCTAAGTTTGCTCGATTTGTCTCTAAACAGTGCCGACGAGTGTCGACCACTTAGATAATTTGCCGACCACCGTATGAGCCTTAGTGTCAAAAGCCTTTGACAGGTCCAAAACTACTAGAATCGTTCTCACAGGGACGTTTATGGTTAAGGCCAGGAGTTATCCGAGTGTTTATGGCGTTAGGTGCTGTTGTTGTACTCGGCACTTTACGGAAACCATGCTGATGCTTCGCTGGGGTCAAATGGTTTGTGAAATACGGGAGTAGCAAGGCCTCGAGTGTCTTCGCTACCGGGGAAAGGAGTGTTATCGGACGATAAGAATTTCCTATGTTGGCAGGTTTCCCGGTTTGAGCAGTGGGACCACTCTCCCCACCTTCCAGACGTCTGGGATGATGAGAGTGGCCATGGACAAATTGAGGACCTCCGTTAGGTACGCTGCCCCCACAGGACCCAAATTTTTCAGCATCAGCATGCATATTCCGTCGGGACCCATGGCTTTGGAGGCTTTCGCCTTCCCGATGGCCACCTGAACTTCACCGCAAGTGAAAGCAAGGGGGGCACAGGTTGTTGGCAGTTTGTGCAGCCTTCTGGTCACTCGACGCTTGGCTTTGTCCACCGGAGGATGCAGTATTAACTACCGGCTAAAATAGCTAGCGCATCGCTCCGGGTCCGACGAAGCATGGTTGCCGAAAGAAATTTCGACTCTGTCGTCGTGCTTCGTCGGATTGGACAGTGACCTCACGGTTGACCAAAGCTTACTCACACCAGAGGTGAAGTTGCAGGTCTTCAGATGCTCTTCCCACTTCTTCCGCTTATGTACGTTTACTAGTTGCCGAATCTCCGCGTTGAGATCCCTGATACGGGTATCTCCGGGATCGGGTCGGTTGGTGTGGAAAGCGCAGCGAAGGTGCTCTCAGTAAATTCCGCGAAGCCTTTCCGATCAGCTTTTGAAAAGTTGATATATGTTCGGTGCTCCGCGGAAGCATAGTCGGTTGGTTTATCAATCGAGATGACTATGGGCAGGTGGTCTGATGCCAAAGTCAGCATAGGTCGCCATGTTATGCTGTTTATCAGACCAGCGCTGACTATTGTTATGTCTGGCGAGCTGCAGCAGCTGCCCATAATCCTGGTGGGTGCGTCGTCGTTCATTGTGCAGAATGTCGAATCGTCTATCTGCTCAGCCAAGTCAGTTCCCCTACGATCGTTTGACAGGCTTGAGTGCCAAAGATCGTGGTGCGCATTTAAGTCGCCTACTACCATACGGTGAGGAGCGCACCTATGTCAGAGTGATATCCTACCGGGCAGCAGGTGACAGGGGGTATATAAACGTTAAATATTTCGAGTTCAACATCGCCTGACCGGATAGCAATGCCCTGACATTCTAGGGTGGTATCCCTGCGGTCGATGTCTGCTTCGATAAGACGATACTGCACGGTGTGGTGCGTAATGAACGCTAAGCCTCCACCATTATCCCGCTCGCGATCTCGACGGTGCACGTTGCACCCGGCACAATTCATGAGTGTTGAATTGCTGTGCAACTTCGTCTCTTGGACCGCAGCTATGAATATGCCATGCCTTCCCATGAAGACGGTTATCTCCTCGATCTTGCTCTGAAGCCCGTTACAGTTAAATTGATAGCTTCATGTGGTTCGAGAGACGTGTGGTGATGCGGGGTGTGAGGGATGTGCGCTGCTGAGGTGGTTGCCGCGCTGTGGTGGTGGCGGGAGGCGTCGCAGTTGAGGTCTGCGACCGAGCAGCGCAACACGGGCTCTCTAAGTTCCTCGTCCAATCTCGCGTGGTGCGCAGAACTGAGCATGCCCTAAGGTGCACCAGCCAAGGCAGGTGTTGCACTTGACTGATGTCACATTACGGAATATCCTGGTCTGACATACCGTGCAGATTGTAGCAGGAACCAGGGGTTGTTGGCAGCGGCGTGTGGGTGGTGGTGTGGTTGTGTGTGTTCTGTGGTCTGTAGCCGTTGTTTTGTGGTCTATTGTGTTATGTTGTTGTGCCGTGGTGTTTGTGTGGGACTGCTCAGGTGGACTGGGGTTAGCCGTGGAGGCTGCTCTGTTAGAGCAGCAGGGGGCCACAAAAGATGTGGTCCAATACCGATGTGTCCGTAGTCCTAAGCAGACTCTGAGGTTACTCCACCCCTCGCAAGCATTGCACTTGACAGAAGTGGAGTTGTGGTGTAGTCCTCTCTGGCATACACAGCAGGTGTAGGTTTCTGGCCCTGGGTTTGACTCGATGCCATCCCTGAGTAGGAGAAAACGTAGCGAATGTAGCCCTAAGGATGAACAACTTCTGAGATACTTCGCCGACCTAAACGGTGTTATATCGCCGAAACAACAGCCCTTGGTCAGGTAAAACCCAAGTCATTCCGGTACGTAGAACCGGTTGTCGTAGGAATGTATAAGCCTTCGGAGGGGGTGGTTTTCGGATTTAGAATGGAGAGCCGCTCTACACCTCCACATTTTTAATTTTTTCGAAAGCCTGGTTCCGTAATGGAAAATTTTCCAAAGAACTCTAATTATTTAACAAGTAATTTTTAGCAAAAAAAAACCGACTTAAAAATATATATATATATTTCATGATCCAATGATCGGATCTAAACCAGATTAGTATGGGACCACCTCTGAGACGTTACCTTTCCGATGCAAAAAGAATTATCGAAATCGGTTGACGTCGTCTAAACTTATGCGTAACATATGAATATACATAAAAAAAAAATATTCCGACAACTGATAACCTCCTCCTTTTTTGGAAGTCGGTTAAAAAGTTAATTTCCGCTCTCGGATTATTATTATTGGGGGTTGGCTTTCCTTTATGGCCGTTCGTTAAAGGGGCGGTGGGCGAAAGGTAAGTGGGCGAGGCACCTCTAACCCACCTTTTGGAGAGGGAATGAACCGCCATTGACAAAAATGCAACCCCCCACCACCTAGGTCCCCTATGGTTCCCTAGGGACCCCTTAGAAAAATTGCCAAAAATCACAATTTTCATTTGCGTTTATTCGCTTGAAAAATGTTAAATATTCACTTGCACAATACATTTTTATACCCAGCAAACACAGTTTTAAACGTTTGAAAAAAAAGTATTTCTCAACTTGATATCAAATCTTTTTCTCTAATGATTCTCAAATTGAAAACGAGGTTTAAATTTTACATTTGAAATTCATTTGAAGTTTATTTTAATGAAAGATGTCAAGTATCAAACGTTATAAAAATGCGCAGTTAAATCAAAAGTTGTAAGAATAAAACTAAGATCAATTGAAAAAAAAAAACAATGAATAGAAAAAATTTCAAAGAGAAAGCCCACAGTTAGTGGATCTGATGTTTGCGCGGATTGAAAAAGCTGCAGCCCTTCAAGACGAATTTATTATAAATTATTTTATCTTGTTTCTTTTGTTATGTACATACATACATATGTACATCGCGAAGAAAAAAAATAAATATGAAATATACATTTCCTGTTGTAAATTTTATTTCCACATTTGAAGTACATTTGATAAATAACTTTTGAAATTGATTTGAGAGTTAATCATATGCTCAAATGGAGATCAAACTCCCCTTTTTATTGAGAAAGCTGTAATTTTCAAATCAATATCAAATCATTTTCAAACGTTTGACATTTGATAAAGGCTTTGATTTCAAATCATTCTCAAATGCATATCAAACCTAACTGTTTGCTGAGTATACACATTTTTGTATACAAGACATTTTTATAAAACACCCAGTAACCAAAATAGACATCACTGGGGCGGCAGCCCCAGGTTTACCATACAGAAAAAGAATTCTAGTTACCTCATCCTTTCCCAAGGTTACATCACTGGGGCGGTAGCCCCAGTTAGGTCACACAGAAAGGAGAATTCTACGTAGTAGGTTCATTCCTTATCTTTTTGGACTAAAATCTGAAAAGTGTCAAAATGCCAGAGCGTAAGCAAAATGCGCTCACTAAAAGAGAATAACAGGAAAAGTAAAGGAACGCAAAAAACCAAATTTTTAGTCCAAAGAATGGCAACAACAAAACTAACGTCAAATAAGAACAGAAATGTATGTACAAAACACATTCACACAAGCACAAGCACAATAAACACTTGCTATATCAATTATTTTTTGCCTTCTTCCAATTTCAATTCATTTCTTTTACTTTTTAGATTATTCTCACTTTTAGCGTATTCTTTAATTTCCGTTAATTTAAATTCAGTTGAGTTTGACACTTTTCAGGATTTTGCCAGAAAAAATTCTTCTGACTAAATCTGACTACTTCGGACTGATGAGAGTCACTCTCACTGACTGTTGCTCTCTCATTTTTGCTGTCATTTCCGAGTTAAGGAACGCTTTTTGGACTAAATCTGACTACTTCGGACTTTTTCTGACTATTTCTGGGAGATAAGGAACGCTCCTAGTAAGGGTTATAATCCCTAAGCGCGGCCGAAGGTCGCCTACACAAAAAGGAATTCTACGCAAAAATACTGTGGACGGAACAAAAATTTCCATTTTTGGCCATTTTTCTAAGGGGTACGTAGGGAACCATAGGGGGTTTAGGTGGTCGGGGGTTGCATTTTTGTCAATGGCGGTTCATGCTCTCTCCAAAAAGGTCGGTTGGAGGTGCCACGCCCACTCCCCCTTCGCCCACCACACCTTTAACGAACGGCCATCAAGGAACGTTTCCCCATTATTGGTGTTAAAATGCGTCCATTGATACCCGTCTCGAAATTGTTCGTAAATTTTTCGTCTTGTGCAACAGTGCACCTTTACCTTTTTTTACTGACTTCACAAAAAGGAGAAAATTTTTATCAATTCGTCGGATTTTTTTATTTTTATTTTTTTTATGTATGTTACCGCATATCTTTGGACCACGTAAGCGATTTCTATAACTCTTTTTTTAAAGGAAAGGTGTTACCTCACATGTGGTCCCATTCTAATTTGGTTTAAATCCGATCATTGGATCATGAAAAGATTAACGATAATCTTAAATTTTTATGAGAATTGAAGTCCGTTTTTTTTTGCTCAAAAATTATTTGGTTGACCTCTTTATACATACTTAATTACAAAGCAGAATGTTCCTCGAAAGTGTAACTTGAAAAAGCGTAGTGCAGAGTGGCTATAATGAGCATATGCAAATTCTTCATGGTGAAACATAAATCTTTTTGAACTTTACCGTTAACGGAAGTGGCGACATTTCTCTCGCTTCATAAACAGGTCTTGGCAGGATATCTTTCAGACCTTCGCGAAACTCCAGGACAATTATGCGGAGCGATATCCCGACCTGAGGAGCTGCAACCCCAACGCAATNTCGCTTCATAAACAGGTCTTGGCAGGATATCTTTCAGACCTTCGCGAAACTCCAGGACAATAATGCGGAGCGATATCCCGACCTGAGGAGCTGCAACCCCAACGCAATCAAATTTCTTTAATACTTTGACCATTTTTTCCACTATATAGGTAACTTCTTTACTTCCGATAAGTCCATCGGGTACTTGTGTGGCTTTAGTACGCAAAATTGGATCGCCCACTTGAGTGAAATGTTCATATGGAGGTCTGTTTACAGGCTTCGGCGTCCAAAAGTCTTTGTAGAAATTACGAAATGATCGCTCTATTTTACTACAAGTACGTATTAACCGGTCTTCTCCTGTGGACACATTAAAGACACAACTATGGAATCTAATCATCTTCCGCAAGCACAGTACATACAGCACAATATAACCAGTAAACAACCTTCGGTGAATTTGGCGACTGCCTTCCTCGGGGATGAATATGCTAGGGATGAAATTATTGGTACATCCGCCTTCCAACCACGCAGGGCTGCTTTTATGAAACACAAATTATTAACTCCAAATAGTTTCAAAAAGTATGTGTAAAACGAAATTTATTGAATAATTCCACATAAAATGTTATACGTAAATGACTCATTTTCTAAACGATTTAAATAAAACCCATTTCATAACCTTTTTTGTGCAAACGGCATTTGCGAATTGATAGAAAAGTACTACGGATGGTAAATTTTTGTTAACTATGAGGTGAATGAAAATTTTCAACCCGGCCTGACGGTTTTAAAGAGTTTTTTTGTTCTATTTTTATTACTAAGGCGTATAATAAATGCATGGCTTTTAGTTCTAGAAGAATAAATGTCAGCAAAGACAAGTCTTTTTTGTATAATTTCTGATTTTAATTGCTCAAATTCACCAGAGCAACTGTCAAAAATTTCCAGCAGTAAAAAGTTACGAATTGGCACAGCAGAAATGTAAATTTTTCTCGCCATAATAAAAAGTTTTTTCAACATGGGCTTTTCTACTAATTGACATGAAATTACTATCTCAACGCTCGGAGCGCTGCCACCGAGGGTCTTGGCCAACTGATAAAAAAGAGAAAATTTGGAAAGACCAAACAAAAATTTCGAGATTTCTCGTTGTGAATACGAATGCCATAGTTTTTAACTAGCTCATGGGACTACGCAAAATTTTGACAGCTTGTATACACATAAAGTTGTTGGCGGTAATAAAGGGTCAAAATCAAAATGGAGAAAATAACAAAAAGCGTACGTTAGTTGTTAGTTATAAAATAAATCCAATTTATTTGCGAATATTTGTTTATTCTATTTATTAAAAGGCAACCACGGGGAAAAGCTTGTGTTAATTATATTGATAACAAAACCTGGCAGCTCGCACGTTGTCTAAATTCTCAAGTAACATAAAGTCCACAAAAGAATAAATTGCTTGTATTACCATCAATACGTCATGTATAAATTTTAACAATACACAAAAATAGAGATTTCGCACGACCGTTTGTTTGGGTTTTCAACACCATTTATAATTTTCTTTTAATAAATTCACGATTTGTCAAATGCTTAAATTTATTTATCTAATAATAATGCAGCAAAATAGCAGCACACAACCCCGTGCCTTCCTCAGGAGTGAATATAACTGCAACAACAACGACTACTACAACAACCCAAAACTTTGATATACAGTTGGGGTGTTCACAGTTCGTTCCAAATAGTGTCTCAAAATGTAGACGTCTACATTTTAAGACGTTTTCTAACCGTAAAATCTGTGGTGTTGTTGTTTCCCATACAAAATTGGAAAACGACGCCGTCTACATTTTGTCACACTCAAAGGTATGTTTTTTACGCGTCTACATTTTGCAACCTCGCAGCAG